AATGTCTCAATGTTTATGTAATATTTGTTTCAGGGTTCATGTGGAAAGTGAATGAACAAAACATATCTGGATTGTTGGAGTTACCAAGAAAACTTCATTTTCTCGAACCATAAGAGATGCTGTTTATATAACTGAAGAGTCTGTTATTTTATTTTATTTTATTTTATTTTATTTTATTTTATTTTATTTTATTTTATTTTATTTTATTTTATTTTATTTTATTTTATTTTATTTTATTTTATTTTATTTTATTTTATTTTATTTTATTTTATTTTATTTTATTTTATTTTATTTTATTTTATTTTATTTTATTTTATTTTATTTTATTTTATTTTATTTTATTTTATTTTATTTTATTTTATTTTATTTTATTTTATTTTATTTTATTTTATTTTATTTTATTTTATTTTATTTTATTTTATTTTATTTTATTTTATTTTATTTTATTTTATTTTATTTTATTTTATTTTATTTTATTTTATTTTATTTCTCTCCTTCTGTTCTTTTCTGAGTGTTTATTCCAATGAAAGCCTGCAGATACTTCAGATCAGATTAATCATAAAATCTACTTTTTGATTATATATTATTCTTTTGCTTGTTTCCTTACTACTGTATTTAGTGTTAATTTGATAGAATTCTAAAAGAGACTTCACAGAGGTGAATATAATTCATTATTTTTCACAATAAGAGCTACTGTATTTTGTGTTTAATTCAATTTGTTTCGCACATAAATAAAATAAAATCTAACACATTATCCACAAAGAAAATTCTCATTTATTTTTATAGCAACATTGTTCACCAATTAGCTATTTTGATAGCTTTTATTTTTTGCTGTAATTCATTTGGTAGAGCATATATCACAGGTTTGATTCCCAGGGAACACAAATAAACTGTATACCTTGAATTGTTTTGAATAAAGCTTCTGCAAAATACATATATGTAAAAGTCAATTTGTAGCCAATAACCTTCATAGGACTGACAATAATCTCCCAACTGCTTTCAATCAAGTAACAACATGGTAACAATGATGCATCTGGTTGATTATATTCTGTAGCCTATGTGGTCTTCCCAGAGAGGCCCCCTAGTGAGTGCATAGCTATTTCTGGTCACTAAAACATTGTTATTAGGAATAAATACCTTTTTACTTCTTTAAATGAACAGTTCTATCATCTGAAAAAAAAATAAAAGCAATAAAAATTGCTTTCATTTTTACTCATTGCACATATAGATTATTATTTATTGACATTTTATTGACCCACCACTTAAATAATTGGATAAAACAAACTACTTTTTTTTTTTTTTAATGAGTAACTGAATGTTGCAGAACTGTACCTGAGCACTTCTTTCTTCTATTTAATTTTCTCCCAAAAAGTACCTCATCTGGTATATTTTGTTTAAAATACCATTTAAAAAAATACATTATTTAAAATGAAAATACAATGTATTTGACCACTTTGTAACTGTCTAATAAAAGTACAATTAATGATTAACTTCATCTATTGGATGTTAATTGTTTAAAAGTAATTACAGAAATGATAAGAGCAGTGAGGTTAGTTATCAGAAAAGCTCTACAGTTGTCTGCAGATGATATTTGGTTTGATATTTGATTATCCTTTTCCCCCCTGTGTTTTGATTGTTCGGTAACACTTTATTTTAGGGTCTCTTGACTAGTTGCTTATTAGCATGCATATTACTAGAATATTAGCCATTTATTAGTACTAATTAAGCACATATTAATGCCTTATTCTACATCCCCAATCCTACCCAATACCTAAACTTAACAAGTACCTTACTAACTATTAATAAGTAACAAATTAGGGATTTTATTGAGGAAAAAGTCGTAGTTAATTGTGAATAAGTGTTCCCTATTCTAAAGTGTTACCAATTGTTCTTGGGGCCACTGTATATATTTACCATTTTTGTTAGTTTTAATTACTGTTAAGATCATAATGCACATTTAAATGCACAAAAATGCACACAAAAAAACGGAATTTCTGTCTGCTATACCTGCTGCTCAGAAGAGGCCTCTCTGGGTAACAGCTGGGAGGCCACTATGGCTTTCATGGTCTCAAACTGAAAAGGGGCCCCCAAAAACAGTGTACCATTGCCCATTATTAGCTGTTAGTTGTTGAGGTTTAGGTAATGAGATAAATCATCGTGTACTAGCTACGCTAAACTAGAATTTGGAGAAGGGACCAAACTGACGGTTCTGGGTAAGTCTGAATTTTTTAATTCAGAAATTGTATTAGTAGATATGATAACTTGTTTGATTTGTGAAATGCAGTGAAATGGGTCATATTGTACGCGAAAAATGAAAAAAAAAAAAAAATGGATTGAATACAGAAAACAAGAAATGCATGGGCCATTAAAATGATTTATCTATGTAAAATGTTTATTTATTAGTTAATAAATGAATGTTTATTTATTCAATAAAATAATAATTATTAAAAGCATGCGTTAATTCCCAATCTATTTTCAATGAGAAAATAAGGGAACATTTCAGAAGCAATAAACTAAGTCCACAAGTATGTACTTAAATGTAAAAATAGAAGTATTTAAAATAAGTTACAGGTGTTAAAAGCATAACAACTATTTGCAACTACACACAAACCAAAGCATCTAAACAAACAAAGCTGCTAACAAAGCAGCTTTATAGAAGTTGTTGTGTGCATTTCTTTAGATGGATACAGTATTCATCCACATACAGTATTAGCATAAAACATCCTTTTAATACAAAACGCGTGAAAGTAGCAATTCATGAAAGTGTCGCCATGGACAACAATGAAATATACAGTTTTGCAATCATTGTAAATAAATAAATAAATAAATACATGAATTAATCAGCCTTTGCTGTGATTGACCAATCAAAATGAAGCATTTCATTAATGCATGTAATAACTACAAGGGTAATTAATTACATAGTAATTGTAGCAAATGAATCTTCCTGATTTTCCGCTTTCCTTCTCAAGCTGCAAACGTCACTCTACCTAAAGTCAAGATCCTTCCACCCTCTCCAAAAGAAATCTGTTCCCAGGACAAGATAAATGATAAACGGTCAACTTTAGTGTGTGTGGCCTCAGGCTTTTATCCCGACCATGTGAGTGTGTCCTGGAAAGTGAATGGCGTAGCGAGACAGGACAGTGTATCAACTGACACCTCAGCCCAACAGGACAAGACAACATTAATGTACCATATCAGCAGCAGAATAAAAGTTAATGACACGGACTGGATGGATCTTAAGAGTAGCTTCGCCTGTACCGTCCAGTTCTTCAACGGAGATGAATATGTCAATGTCACAAACACCATAAACGGTCAAAAAGGTTTGTGAAAATGCACCAGATGTTATAATCAGGTTCAATAACTGCATAAAGTTCACTCATTATATAACAAGTTCGATTCAGCGATAAGCAGCTCCAGAGACAGTAGACATCAGTAAATATATAGAATAATACATTTGCAGATGACACTTTCTTTGATATATTTATATGTCGCAGTAAGACTGATCGTGCCGAAATAGTCTTTCGGGCCACTGTATATTCTAAGTCTGAATTCCACGAGACAGCAGACTACTGATATTCAGTTGTCTAATTTGACAGTCTTTGCATTTATGTCTTTAAGTGCTGTATCTGACATGTTTGTTTGTCCGTGTTTTTAGTGAAGCCGAAAGGATTGAAACTGCTTGGCTTTGGCTACATCCTATTCCTCAGCAAAAGCCTGCTGTATGCGCTGGTTGTGGCTGGTGTGGTGTGCAAACTAAAGGTGATTCCTTATAACTATTATGCACATCTCACACATCAAATATGCATGTACAGTATATGAATATATAAGTATAAATATAGATAGATTGATACATGTGATCCCATAACATGATATGAATTTATTACCCTACAGTTCTCAGCGAAGAAGAAACAATTAGCAGAAGACTGAGATGCGTTGAAAATTTGTGACTTTAGGCCAGAAGTGACTTTCTCTGTTATTTACAAGTTGTGTAAAATATCTGTGTATTGCCTACAATTTTCTAGATTCATGTTTGTTATATTTGTGTATGACATCAAATCACACATATAATTTTTTTCTTACTTTTTTTTTTTCAAAGCTTGAAAGTTTAATGGAGGTAGTGACTTATCTGGAATGAATAACTAACAATGAGAAACAAATTAAGTAGAATGATATAAAGAGTTTTGGTTTCTATTTTTGTGCTATGACTAAAACATTCTACATTTACGTAATTCTGAGGCCTTTGTTTTATGAGAAACAGGATATTTGCATATGTTTTTTTTTTTTTTCTCAGTGGAAAATCTGCACTTTTGGAAAGTGTGGGTTGTTATCTAAGTTATGTCAGAATCTTCCACTGCAATAAGACAAATAAGACTTTAAATGTATATTGAGACCTCTACATTTCTCATAATGAGTTTTGAAGCTTTTCTAAAATTCCTGGAACAAGGCATTTACAAAGTACTGCAACTGAGCAATGTGACTGCAACTGAAAATAACAGCACCGTCTTGATTTTGTTCATACATTTATATTCTTTTGAAATAAATAATAACATGTGCTTGTTTTCTGCTTGAAAATGTGAATACAACCCAGAAGAATGATTCTACTTTGAATAGTGTATAGATGATTTTAAGTGCTGTACTGCTGCAGGTTGCTGTAGCTGAAAGCAGGATGTGGTGTCAGATCTTTGCAAGCATTGTGGAGGTGTTGGGGAGGATGTGGTCAGAACGTTCTCGAGATGTTCGTGCTCCATCCTGCATCTTTCACACACCTGCTGCTAGACTTAAATAATCGTGGTGTGCCTCTAGAGTTGGGGTTGGGTGGTGTAGCTCGGTGGATAAATATCTAGGTTGGTAACCAAATGGTTGTAGGTTTTCACCTCAGGGGGGAAATCCATCAACTATCAGAACTTCAGAAAGATACTATATAACTAACAAGAGTGTAGTTGTTCTATTAACTGCTCAAAAATATAATAAAATGAACTGAACTTGCCTAATTTTCAATTAGGAACTATTGTAACCACGTATATATAGTACTAACTAACTTAAACAGAGGCATCTAGGACGGCCTACTGTTTAGCCTAAGCAGTAACATTGTCATGTTACTTTGGTTATGTTTCAGAACTAAATAATAAATAAATGTTGGTGTCTTGTCTAAACACCATATACAGTATGCAGTAATCATAAATGTGTCATAATATTCATAATCCATGATAGGTCATTGGGTGAAGACTAGGTAAAGAACACAGGAAACAAGACATTATTGTTATCAATGGTCTGGAGAGGAATAATGGTTAAGACTGGATAGAACCGGATCCATGAGGTTACAAAAAAATCATGTGACACTACGTTTCCTCAGTAAGACGTTAAAGAGACATTCTGAGTCTGTGAGCCGCCGCCACGGTTATTATATCTGTAATATTATATGTTAGTGCCATCTGCTGGATTCATGTTTTATTGCGGCTTGAATGTATGACAGTAATGCCTAAGTGATATTTCAAATAAACTTTCATGGTTGTTATGCATGATTACATATTACCATAGAGTATACAGTTATTATTTGATATAAATGATTTTCAGAAATATTTTTCCATTTTTTGTTTTATTAATTTATTGACGACTTTCCTAAATTATAAATTTATTTTGATAAAAGTATCTTAAAAAAGAATAAAGCAAATCTATCTATCTATCTATCTATCTATCTATCTCGGAGATGCGGAGTTGGGTGGTTTGACTTAGTGGTGGAAGATCTTATTTGGAACCTAACTGAATGTCCTCACCTTACAGGAAGCAATTCAATAGTAATTTTAGTATAAGCATATTGTGTCCTTGTGTAAAACACTAAACCTTGACTGCTCAAGAAGAAAAAGTGTACTGTGCATCACTTTAGATGAAATTCGGAGGAACAATATCTCTTTATGCACCGAAATTCATTAAGGAAGTTAGGAAATTTAGGTTTTTGTACAGCAACACAGTAAGTCTGTGTCACTGTGTTCAGATGCATGTTATGTATTTATTTCTATTTTAGAACATTATTTGAAGGCTGGTCGCATACATAATACAGTATTTTTATTTTATTTTTTTATTTTTTTTGTGTAGATTCACCTTGTGGAACCCATAATATTGGAGTCAGAATGTGTAACATCACTGGATTCTAAGAAATAATCGAAAAGCATAACAATTTTAATAAATACCTCCGGCATAATTGTACAAGTGTCTATTTTAGTAAATAGCAATATTTTTTTTCATCCATATATTTCTGAAAGCATATGGAACTTGATACATTTTGTCTCTGAAAACCACGTCCTCTGGTGTGACACCATATCCTGATTTTAAATCGACTAATTCCGGGAAAAAAACTTTAATTAAGAATTAAGAATCATTTTCAGTGTTCTTAAATGCAATACTTACATTAATTAAACTATTTTCTAATGTTTTTGCAGATAACTTGTACAGTTATAAAGTGTTGTGAAAATAAAGTATAACATTTTATCTTTTTTGTTTTTTGGAAAAAGAAAGAATTGAGGGAGAGAAATTAGTGGAAAAGAGAGGACATGGAAATATAGTCAGAAAATTAACAGGGATCCACGCAGAAGGGAGGAGATCCTAAGAGAGTGATGCTGAAAGAAAACAGAATCAAAATGATGCATTGAAAAGAGTAGCCATTTAGTTAAAAAAAAAATATATATATTCACATCTTAATGAATTTCGATTGAATATCAATCATATTTAGCTGTGCCGCACATGCAGCAGGGGGGCTAGAAGAGTTTCAGTAACATACTGATTGACTAAGAGACTGACTTTTGTTGATGAAAATGATTTTTTGTTTTGTTAAAAAAAAATGTTGATATTGTTTGTATCAAAATTAAACTTTCTTACTTCTTTTGACGTTCAAAATTAAATCGAAATACATTAATAACTACCATTGGCCCCACTTTATATTAAGTGGCCTTAACTACTATGTACTCATTTCTGTCCTATGGTGTGACGTAATGTCCTATGGTGTGATACACATAAAAGAACCACAGATTTGTTATCTCAAAACATCTTAAAAAAAAAAAAAACAGTTGAGTATTGCAATAGGGGAGATACAATCATCACTCATCTTAAAGAGGTCATATGATGTGATTTCAAGTTTTCCTTTCTCTTTGGAGTGTTACAAGCTGATTGTGCATAGATAAGATCCCTGAAGTTGCAAAGACTAAAGTCTCAAAACCAAAGAGATATTCTTTATCTTTTCTAAAATTCCTGGAACAAGGCATTTACAAAGTACTGCAACTGAGCAATGTGACTGCAACTGAAAATAACAGCACCGTCTTGATTTTGTTAATACATCTATATTCTTTTGAAATAAATAAATAATAACATGTGCTTGTTTTCTGCTTGAAAATGTGAATACAACCCAGAAGAATGATTCTACTTTGAATGGTGTATAGATGATTTTAAGTGCTGTACTGCTGCAGGTTGCTGTAGCTGAAAGCAGGATGTGGTGTCAGATCTTTGCAAGCATTGTGGAGGTGTTGGGGAGGATGTGGTCAGAACGTTCTCGAGATGTTCGTGCTCCATCCTGCATCTTTCACACACCTGCTGCTGCACACAAGCCTCAAAGCTCATACACGTCTTCAGACGAAACCAATAAGCTGTTGAAAACTGGTGCAGAAACTGGTGATTCATTCGAGGAGCATGTTTGCAGGTTATTCTATCAACAGTCTGCACCACACACCCCCACATCTGTATTGTTTTTCTGGAACATGTTGAACGCATTCATCATGAATCAATTGCTCAGTCTGAGTAATCTGAAACACATTAAAATGTTTTTCCAGTAAATGATATAAAGCAATGCAAATCAAAAATCTAATTCTGTTATTGTGCTCTTTAATAACAAAGAAAAGTTCCTGTAATCCTCATTATAATGTAATCGTACACATTTTAAAGATGTTTTCATCACTTTTATCTCATTGTAATAAGAACTGATTATAACAAAATGTCAACTTGATAACATATTTCAAAAGTCCTCTATGAAAAATGTCAAATGTTGCAAGATGCCAAATGTAAATCTTTGTTTAGTTTAATGTATTTTTACACTGGGGTCAATTTGAAGTAGCTATACTTTAATGTATAACATTTCTGAAAAATGAGTGATAGAAGAGAGGGTTAATACTGCAATAATATAATTCAAATGGGTTTTGATTAGGCCAGAGGAACATATCACAATTATTTTATAAGAGATTAATTTTGAATTGATTATTGTTTTCACCCCAAAAGCATTGGGGTCTCTGGGACTCCAAATATAAAAACAGTAAACTCAATCTCAACACAAGGGTTACATTTTACAGATCTTTTTCACACCTCTTTCAAACAAGCAGCTTCTAACAGGGCCTCAAATGAACTGATCTAGCCTTCGAATGAACTCAAAAAGCAGTTTTCGTCCCTGAGTGTTTTTGTACAGCTTTCATTGTGGTCTGTTATACTGTGGGGACTGGCTGCACAGAACCAAACAACAGAACCAACATCGGTTACACTCTTGGACTCCAGTACTATTTGAAGAAGCCCTGGTCTGTTAGATGATAAATCCCCCACGTTTTCTGGATCCACAATTCCTACACCGACAGAACTGAACATCAACTTGAAACCATCTGTCGGGGTCCAAAGGTACCAGTAGAGGTTTGGGTTATCAGTGCCTGTGATGGAGCAGACAACCTTCAGTGGTTCACCTGGTTGAAGAATAAGCTCCAATGGGTTTTGGTTTACCTGAAGACCTGAGATCAAAATAACTGTTATGAGTAATTTAGGACTTAAAACATTGTAAACCTGGTTTTGAGCAAATCAGCAGCTTACACATAATGGCAGGCCATTGTAATGATGCAAACAAAATAGCAAAATACAACTGCATCATGAATAGCTGAACTTAGCAAAGTCTTGTGACTTAAATAATCGTGGTGTGCCTCTAGAGTTGGGGTTGGGTGGTGA